GCTATATTGTCACGATCGTCGTTATAATCATCATCATCATTAACATAATCATTGTCGTCATTGTTATCATATCATTATCAGCATCGCAGCCGTTGATATCATTCACCGAATGATGATGCTAAATGCAGCAGTAGCTGGGGGTTGGACGGCAGTTATCATCGAACGTTAATTTCATTTTCATTCATTGCAGCGGTAACAGATTCATGCGATGTTTTTAAAAAAAAAATCGCTGATAAAATGTCAAGATCATCATCATCAACACGAAATTTTTACGAAAGCCGTTATTTTATAACCATCCAGCAGTAGAGCGAGCGGCTCACATTCATCGGAAGGACTGCGAGAAATGCGAGGTGGTGGTTAATGAATTAGCCCATCATCCTCACCTTCTCTCCGGGGCCGATAAAATTGGTACGACTACGTGGGGCAATTAAAAGTGGTTGTTGTCCTACGGACAGACCCCCCCCCCACCCCATCCGCAACGGCTCCCCCGACCCGGCCATAGGAATGTGGAATTTCCACCAATGGCTTGATACGGATTTTTTTTTGCTCGTTATTTAATTTGGTTAAAGTTGATGTCACCTATCCGCATTTAAACAAAATATGAGACCCTCCCTCCCCACATTCCACCCTCCCCCCCCCAACTTCTGCAGCCCCCCCCCCCCTCGACCGCATCTCCCCACCTGCAAAGCTGAAATTAAAATCTCATTAATTTCTGCAGCAGTCACAACGCGAGCGCATTGTGACCAAATTCCACAACGTACAATGTTCTCCGCATCGCAAATAAACACCGCATTGAATTTCTTATGCCGAATATAAACTTGTACGTTTTTAAAAAAATATAACAATTATTATATTAACGATAGACCTTACGATTTTAAAATAACCCTCACACACACACATGTTTGACCGTGCCCGTGTAAGTTTAAAAACAATATCGTATAATTGTCTTTGCGATGATTACAATAAATTAATAATGATAACGATGCCAATGACGTTGGCACGAGTCGTGATTATCGTCGACGGAATTTTTGATTTCTTTGCTCGGAAGCGAAATCTGTCAAAATCCTCATCACGCATCATCATCATTGTCACCTAGACCGTCACGTGACCGTCGTTATCTCATATTTACATAGCAGTCCGTGTGTATATGCGTGTTGAGGTATTGTGTGTATGCGTGTTAGGGTATTGTGTGTTAGGGTATTGTGTGTGTCAGGGTATTGTGTGTGTATGTGTTAGGGTATTATGTGTGTATGTGTGTTAGGGTATTGTGTGTGTATGCGTGTTAGGGTATTGTGTGTGTATGCGTGTTGGGGTATTGTGTGTGTATGCGTGTTAGGGTATTGTGTGTATGCGTGTTAGGGTATTGTGTTAGGTATTGTGTGTGTTAGGGTATTGTGTGTATGTGTGTTAGGGTATGGCTTGTGTATGCGTGTTAGGGTATTGTGTGTGTTAGGGTATTGTGTGTGTGTGTATGTGTGTTAAGGCATTGTGCGTGTGTTAGGGTATTGTGTGTGTATGCGTGTTAGGGTATTGTGTGTGTTAGGGTATTGTGTGTGTATGTGTGTTAGGGTATTGTGTGTGTATGTGTGTTAAGGTATTGTGTGTGTTGGGTATTGTGTGTTTGCGTGTTGGGGTATTGTGTATGTGTGTTAGGGTATTGTGTATGTATGTGTGTTAGGGTATTGTGTATGCGTATTAGGGTATTGTGTGTGTATGTGTGTTAGGGTATTGTGTGTGTTAGGGTATTGTGTGTGTGTGTTAGGGTATTGTGTGTTAGGGTATTGTGTGTGTGTGTTAGGGTATTGTGTGTGTGTTTTAGGGTATTGTGTGTGTTAGGGTATTGTGTGTGTGTGTTAGGGTATTGTGTGTGTATATGTGTTGTAGGGTATTGTGTGTGTTAGGGTATTGTGTATGCGTGTTAGGGTATTGTGTGTATGCGTGTTAGGGTATTGTGTGTGTTAGGATATTGTGTGTGTTAGGGTATTGTGTGTATGTGTGTTAGGGTATTGTGTGTGTTAGGGTATTGTGTGTATGTGTGTTAGGGTATTGTGTGTGTTAGGGTATTGTGTGTGTGTGTTAGGGTATTGTGTGTGTTAGGGTATTGTGTGTGTGTGTGTTAGGGTATTGTGTGTTACGGTATTGTGTGTGTGTGTGTTAGGGTATTGTGTGTATGCGTGTTAGGGTATTGTGTGTGTATGTGTGTTAGGGTATTGTGTGTATGCGTGTTAGGGTATTGTGTGTGTGTTAGGGTATTGTGTGTGTATGTGTGTTAGGGTATTGTGTGTGTTAGGGTAGTGTGTGTTAGGGTATTGTTTGTGTTAGGGTATTGTGTGTGTATGTGTGTTAGGGTATTGTGTGTGTTAGGATATTGTGTGTGTGTTAGGGTATTGTGTATGTGTTAGGGTATTGTGTGTGTATGTGTGTTAGGGTATTTTGTGTGTATGCGTGTTAGGGTATTGTGTGTGCGCGCAGCATATGTTTACGGTGGGTTTTATATATATGTGTGTATTTACGGTCATTTATACTTGTGTGTGTGTCAGGGTGTGTGTATGTCTGTATTATGTTTATGTGTGTGTGTGTTCATTGTGTGTCAGGGTGTTGTGCATGTCTGTATTGTGTTTATGTGTGTGTTAGAATGTGTGTGTGTTCATTGTGTGCAGTCTCTGTATATTGTATGTGTACTGTGGTTTATACTATATATATGTGTGTGTACGCGTGTGTGTTAGGGTGTTGTGTAGGTCTATATAATGTGTTCAGTATGTGTAGTTTGTGTCTTTATGGTGGTGTGCATATATGTGTGTACGCGTGTGTGTGTTTGGGTGTTATGTATGTGTATATTGTACATGTGTGTGTATTCAGTGTGCGTTTGTGTATTGTGTTTATGTATATGTTATGTGTTTAGTGTGTGCGTTGTGTGTGTGCAGTATATGTGTATAGCGTGTGTATATACATGTTTGTGTGTGTGTGTCGCGTTTGTGGTATCTGTGTGTGTGTCCTGTGTGTGCCTGTTTGTGCACGTGCTTCGTGTGTTGTGTATGTGTGCGTGTATATTTAATGTATTGCGTGCATTGCGTGTGTGCGCTCAGTGTGTGTGTGTGTGTCGGGTGTGCATGTGCAGGTGTTATGTGCGTGTTATTTTGTCGTGTGTATTGTGTTTGTGTATTTTGTGTTTCGCGTGTGTGCCGTGTACCGAAAGCATTTTGATGAGTGCTTACACTGTGCGATGCATCTTTAGTGTATATACATGCCTTCGTGTATGCATATATTTAGCGTGTATACATGTGCTTGATGGCATATGTATGTTGTGTCGTATTGTATATATGTGGCTAGTGTCTGCAATGTATGTGTGTACGCGCTGTAGTCGATGCATGGCGCACGAGTGTTTATATTATTGAGTGACTATTTTAGCCTGCGTAGTTGTGCGTGTGTGAATTGTGTTATATATATGTGCGTGATATATTTATTGTCTGCAGCTGATGCGTATTGTGTGTGTGTTTTGTTGTGTACGCCTGTGCCGTTGTGTATGAACGGGCTTGTCTGTGAAGTGTACTGTGTGTGTGGTGTAATAAGCGTGTGTTTAGGCTTGTACTGTTAGTGTTGTTTGTGTGTGTTTAGTCGAGGCGCTCGCGTGTGCGTACGCATGGGCTGTAATTGAGTGATCTGTGTGTGTGGTGTTGGCCACACACCCCCACGTTCTGGCCTTTCATAGGCGCTTGCTAACAGCACTTGCCCCAACAGTCTGTGATGTATATACGGGGAATCTTTGTATCGGTATTTGCGATGCGTGTGTGTAGTGTGCGTGTGTGTTTATATTTCGTTGTTGTGCGTCGGTGTGCGCGTGTGTGTGTCTTTGTACACCGTGTATCCTTGTATTTTAGATGGCGTGCGTGTGTTTATTTCTTACGTGTGTATTGGCTTTTATGTGTATGTTTGGGGGGGGGGGGTGTATGCTGCGTGTTGAAGCGATACGAGGGGATCTGTGTCTGTATATGGTGCGCGCGCGTGTTATAGCGTGCGCGTGTGTATATTTCTTTGCTATGTATTAGTGTGTGTGTGTGTGCATACATGTACACAAAGAGTTATATGGGGAGCGTGGGATGGGGAGAGGTTGAATTGCACTTACATTTGTACACATGCGTACATTTCCATCCGGTAACGTGTTTAATATAATAACAATAATATTAACAATAATATATTTATAATATATTCGCTAAGAGACTTGGGAAAACACGGAATAACAAATATATGACGGTAAATCATATACAATTTCCTACAACACTTCAATGGCGACACGGGACAGATTTAGGCAATTGTCAATCCTTTGTGAGTTTTCGTCTCCGTGAGCGAGTGAGTTAGGCCTGTGAATTGGTCGGTGTGAGGACTCAGTGTGCGAGGGTCAGTTTGTGAGTCTGTGAGTTAATTTCTGGTTCTGTGGGTCGGTCTGTGAGTCTGAGTAAGTTTGAGTCTGCGAGTGGTTTTGTGAGTCTATTAGAGTCCGAGTGAGTTTGTGAGTCTGAGTGGGTTTGTGAGTATGTGAGTGAGTTTGTGAGTGAGTGAATTTCTGAGTGAGTTTTTGAGTCTATGAGTGAGTCTGTGAGTCTGAGTGCGTCCGTTTGTGAATGAACGCGTCAGTGAACGAGTGGATTTCGCAGCTTGACGATTTTTTTAAGCTCAAGTCTCATTTCCCTCTTTTCGTTCCCCCCCGTTTAAGAGTGTTCATAAATAAAACTGCATGGCATCGAATATTGATCAACAACACAGGTTAAAGAAACATATTACAAACAAAATAGACGACTGCCGTATTTATATATAGTATATTGTACAAAATACGAACTTACAGGAGCACACGTGGGGTGGGGGAGGGCGAACGGTGAGGGTTGGTGACGATGATGACGGACGAGGTGGAAGGACGCAGAGGTTGCGGGTGAATTTGGTGCGGAGTGGGGGGGAGGGTGAAGCAACATTCACCACCATCATCATCATCATCACCACCACCACCATCAGTGTAAGAGGCTGTTGGCTGAATGTGCCGTCTGATGCTGCGCGAAATAACCCGCCAGTCCGCCAGGCAGTCCCGCGTGAAACGAAGACAACGGCCCTCTGAGCACCTCGCAGCCGGGGATCAACCCGGCCGAGTGGGGGCTGGACTGCGACAGAGGAGGCGAGCCGGCGCCTTGGATGATACCCTGAGCGCTCGATCCTCCTCCTCCTCCTCCACCACCACCACCTCCTCCTCCTCCTCCACCGGCGGCTGCCGCGGCAGCGGCCGCGGCTGCCGCTGCCGCGGCCGCGGCCCCCATGTGCGGGAAAAAGTAGCCGCCCTGCCCGGCGGCGAGGAGGCCGACCGAGCACGGGCCCAGGGCCCCGTAGGGCCCCCCCGCGGCCGCCGCCGCGGCCGCTGCGGCGCAGGGGACGGAGGCGGCCAGGGCCGCTGCGGCCGAGAGGTGGTGCGACGCGTACGGCTGGAGGTCGCCACCCACCAACCTCTCCACGGTCAGGCTGCCCGCTCCGGACCCACCCGCCGTGCCCGACGACCCTCCGCCTACTCCTCCTCCGCCGCCCGCACCTCCCCCGCCTCCGCCCAGGGAGCTCTGGGAGAGAACGGAGCCGTAGGCGGCAGCGGCAGCAGCGGCCGCGGCCGAGTGGTGGTGGTGGTGGTGGCCGGCGGTGTAGGGCGAAGCGGCGCACGCGTAGCTGAGCGCCGACGCAGCAGCACCCCCGACCACCCCTCCTCCTCCTCCCCCTCCTCCTCCTCCGCCGCCACCGGCGGCCGCGACGATGTGATGGTGATGCTGCTGCGCGTGATGGTGCTGCTGGTGGTGCGCGTGGTGGTGGTGGTGATGATGCTGCGGCTGATGCGCGTGGTGGTGGTGCTGCTGCTGCTGCTGCGCGTGATGGTGGTGGTGGTGGAGCGAGAGGAAGGGCGACACGGGCCAGTACAGGGAGCTACCGCGCTCCATGAAGGCGAAGGCAGCGGGCGCGAAGCGCGCGCCACGCTTGAAGGCGAGCTTGCCCCGAGACGTGGTGGAGCGCCGACGCAGCTTGCCCGTGGTGCCACCGATGAAGACGTCGTCGCTCGATGGGTCGAGCATCCAGTAGTTGCCCTTGCCCGGGTCGTCGTAGTGGCGCGGCACCTTCACGAAGCACTTGTTGAGGCTCAGGTTGTGCCGGATGGAGTTCTGCCAGCCCTGCTTGTTCTCGCGGTAGTAGGGGAAGTTGGTCATGATGAACTCGTAGATGCCGTTGAGCGTGAGCCGCTTCTCGGGGCTCTGCCGGATGGCCATCATGATGAGCGCGTTGTAGCTGAACGGAGGCTTCTCGTACTTGCCGTTTTTCTTGTCTCCGTCTTTGCCCGTCTCGCCTCCTCCGCTGCCGACAGCCGCTGCTGTTGCCGCCGCTGCTGCTGTTGCCGCTGCTGTTGCCGCTGCTGCCGCTGTTGGGACCCCCACGCCGATGTCCTTCTCGACGGAGCCTTTGCGCTCCGTGCTACGGGGCCTCGGTTCCTCGGCGTGCGCGGCGGCGGCGGCGGCGGCGCCGCCTCCCGCCGCCGGCTTCGAGTCGACTCGCCGCATCCCCTCCGGGCTGCCGGGGCTGCTGCTGCCGCTGCTGTTGCCGCTGTTGCTGACATCGTCGACGTTCACGATGGGTTCGCGCGCCGCGGAGATAACCCGGAATGACGGCGGCTGCTGCTGCTGTGCGGCGATGTCCACGGCGGACAGCCGGCCGCTGCTACCCAGCGGCCTATGGTGCTGGTGGTGATGCTGCTGTTGCTGCTGCTGCTGCTGGTGGTGGTGGTGATGGTGGTGGTGGTGGTTGTTGTGGTTTTGGTGGTGCAGTAAGGGCGGTGGTGGTAGCGAGTGTTGCACCGTCTCGGGAAGGAGGCTGTCGATGGTGAAGGACGTCTTGGGCCCGGCCTTCCTCTCTGCGCGCTGGTCGCCCATGTCCAGCATGTCCACGCTGAGGAGGAGGTGGAGGAGGCGGAGAGGAAGGAGGAGGTGGAGGAGGTGCGGTGGTGAGACGCGGCGCGAGACGGGGTCACGGCAGCGGCGGTGGTTGCCGACGGGGAAAGGCGACGAGGAGAGAGGAGGAGAGAGGAGGAGGAGGAAGAGGAGGAAGAAGAAGGAGAGGCGAGCGCGGAGAGGTGAGATCGCGGCATGAGCGAACAGCGACTGAACGCGAAACTTGCCCCCTCCCCTCTCACCCCCCTCCCCTCTCTCACCCCCCTCCCCTCTCTCCCCCCCCTCCCCTCTCTCCCCCCCCTCCCCTCTCTCCCCCCCCTCCCCTCTCTCCCCCCCCTCCCCTCTCTCCCCCCCCTCCCCTCTCTCCCCCCTCCCCTCTCACCACCCCTCCCCTCTCACCACCCCACAAGTCTACATCCTACACTCCCCCCTCCCGTCCACCACAACTCCCCCCCCCAGCAGCACCCGAGAGAGGGAGAGGGAGAGTTACACTCTCGCCTCCTCCTCGTCCTCGTCGTCTTCCCAACCCCACTCTGTGACTCTCCCTCCCCTCCACGTGCGGGAGGGGCTCGCGGAGGGGAATGCACCTGAGGGGCGGGGCTCCCCACCACCCCCGCCTAGCCCCGCCCCCCCCCACTCCCTGCACCCCCCCCCCACACCGCGCGACCCCTGTTCGCGCCGCGACCAATAGGGACGAAGCAAGTTGTGTTGCGTGTACACACACACACATACATATACACACACACACATACACACGTGTATGTGTGTATGTGTACACACACGTGTATGTGTGTACACACATACACACATACACGTGTGTGTACACACACATACACACACACACGCACACACATACACGTGTGTGTACACACACATATATATACACACGTGTGTGTGTATATATACGTGTGTGCACACACGTATATATACACACGCGTGTGTACACACACTCACGCACGTACACGCGCGCGAGTGTATGTACGTGTGTCCGTGCACGCATACACTCGTGCGTACGCAAGTACCTGTAAAGTACACGTGTGTGTGTGTGTGCGTGTATTAAAGCGAATATCTGAACCGTTTTGCCGCTCCATCTCGTGTATGTGCGGTGTGTACAGAAAAATATCAGCAATGGGGAGACAAAGGCGGCCGGGCGTGACGTTAGCCACTCACCCCCTCCTGCCGTTTACAGCACTTGCCCCAACAGTCTGTTAGAGGCTAGATGGGGTGTCTTTGTCTGTGTATTTGTGTGTTTGATACACAATGTCATGTGTGTGTGTGTGAATTTACAAATACACACGAAGATATACACAACAAGAGTGCAGGTTACGCGTGTGTATAATATTTGCGTTGATGTGTTGATGAATACTTGCGAATTATACGCACAGAGACAAAGATCCCCCGCATAGCCTTTGACGGACTGTTGGGGCAAGTGCAGTATTAGCTAGCGCCGCTATGAAGGCGAGGGGGCTGGGTGGCCAACTCCACGCCCGGCCGCCTTTGTCTTCCCAGTCCTGATGTTTACATTTTCACACGCAGGACAAGCTACTCATTTAAGGATGAGTCGACACAGGGGAGTGGGGAGCAGGGGACGATATTCGTCACCAGTGTTGGTAGACGTGAGCGGGAATCGAACTTGGGCCCGCCGGGATCGTAGTGCAGTGCGCTAACCACTGCGCCACCGCTCCCCCGACACAGTGACACACACGCACACGCACGGGTATGTTATGTAGAGTATGTGTTTATTTATAGGTGCGTATATATACACACATATTTCATTATCATCAGCCGTGATTATATTATTTGATATTATACACGGAGACACAAACAAATATTTTCCATTACACACACACATACACACAGACTGTGTGTATAGATACACGTACATACATTTATACAAACAAAGACAAAGATCCCCCATATAGCCTTGACAGACTGTACGGGCAAGTGCTGTTAGCGAGCACCTATGGGGAGCGGTTAGCGCGCTGCGCTATGATCCCGGCGACACGAGCGATTCCCGATCACGGCCAACATCAGTGACGATTATCTGAACCGGTCCCGGGCCTCCCCTAGGTCGACTCAGCCTCAAATGAGTACCTGGTGTGTTGTGTAAACATCGCCAATGAGCGAGAAAAAGGCGGTCGGGCGTGGTGCTGGCCACTCACCCCCTCGTGTACCGTTCCGGCCTTCATAGCTGCCCGCTAACAGCACTTGCCCCAACAGTCTGGTCAGGCTATACGGGGGATCTTTGTCTTGTGTTTTTTTTGTAAAAATAAATGTTTGTGCATTACCGGTAGCTGCATTTTTATGTACATGAAATTAATCGAGCAGTAAGCACCAGGCTGCCGCATTGCATTGTAACGGAGAAATGAATGGAACTGCCACGGCGGTGTAGCGATCGGTTAGCCCACTGCCCCTCAACGTTACCGGTAACCGTATGGAAAACCGGGTTTAACCGGTTTGACGCACGCACATAAACCGTTTTTTTACCGGTTTCCCGCACAAACAGGAATGAAAAAAACGGTTTTTAACGGTTCGCCGCACGAACAGAAATTAATAACCGGTTTAAAAATACCCCGGTTTAACCGGTTCCCGGCACGAACATAAATAAAAAAAAAACGGTTTCCAAAACCGTTTTTTTTACCGGTTAGCGGCACGAACGTAAGATGACGTTTCACCCGAGGCAGGAAGGGCAGCTGGCGCAAGGTGGAGTCGTGAGCAGCAGTGGCAGCAGCGAATGACCGAGAGACTTGCAATCTCACACACAGCACACACAACACACACACACCGCTTCAACTCCATCCTCCCTAGAGTTGAGGCCAACTTCCGCACGCAGTGTCGCGAGCGAGCAACTTTAAAGGGGGGCTGCGGCGTATCCTCCCTCTGAACCACTGGAAACGGTTACCGGTTCACGGCGTTTGAAACCGGCGATCGATTCGGGGAAACGGTTACCGGTTTAACGGGTCGTTCTTCAGCAACGCACAAGCGCGCACGCGGAGAGACGCGCGTACGATACACACTGGCACACGACCATTCCATTGTGCACACACGTACGCGATTAACTTTCACCTAAATCTATGCGCGTATTTACTTACACGCACGATTGATGATTCGCGGAGTGTGCAGCTATGTAAGTATATAGATATGCGGGGTCAGTCTAAATAAAGATTCAGATTCTGGATCGACTTCAAGATCGCATTCACCAACCCTCCCCTCTCATCTCACTCTACTCCCCTCCACGCACTCCCCTACCTCTCATCCCACTCTACTCACCTCCACCCACTCTCCTACCTCTCCCCTCTCATCTCACTATACTCCCCTCCACGCACTCCCCTACCTTTCCCCTCTCATGTCACTCTACTCTTATATCTCTCTCAGTGCTCTACAGCGACCGAGGCCCTCTTGGTCTCTGTCTCGACCTCCGCTCAGTGGGAGGTCGCCCATTCCCCTCTGCTGCCTCCCTCCACAGCCTGGAACTCCCCTCCCACCCCCAGCCGTCCGTGCTGTCGACTCCCCGCGGCACTTCAAGTCCAGGCTCAAGACTTTCCCGCACCCCCTCCCTCTGCTCCTCTATGCCGTCAAATCTTCGCGCTCGTTTTTCCTGCACAGCGTCCGGAATTCAAAGCGAGATTCGTCACGCGAACGCGTCGCCACGATACGCACTATGGCATCAAGTACGGCCCTTCGTTCATGTATGTACGACTTAGTGGACGTGGAACTTCTTTCGCAACCGCACGTAGCCCACCGTGCTCATCGGGGTGCCCGGTAATCCACTGCTGGATACAAGCCCTCCCGCACGCCGTGGCGGTATTGGGGAGAGGGGATTTGTTGACCATACTTCACCACGCTGGTCAGTGAGTGTTGGTGAATGAGAGGGGAGGGGGCCGGGGGGGGTGTTATTCGTCGCCACTGATGATAGCCGTGGCTGGGAATTGAACTCGGGTTTTTTTTGTCGGATTCACGAGCAAAAGCGCGTTCACTCACTGCGTCAAATGCGCGTGGCAATGCATCATACTCGCTCACATACTGCATGCAGTTCTGCGCGCACATTCACTCGCGTGGCATGCAGGATACATATATGTACCTCGAGACAAAAGACAAAGATCCCCCGTGTAGCCTTTTAACAGACTGTAGGGGCAAGTGCTGTGAGCGAGCAGCACCTATGAACGTCCGCACGGCGTACGAGGGGGTGGGTGGTCAACACCACGCCCGGCCGCCTTTGTCTCCCCAGTGGCGATGCTGGAACATCGCACCAGGTACTCATTTGAGGTTGAGTCGACCTGGGGGAGGCCCAGGACCGGTTCAGATAATCGTCAATTCGAGACACACACACACGCGTTAATGCAAAAAAAAAATATACACCGGTATTAATGTGGTTCAATCGTTGAAACTATACAAATATACCCACGTGGGCACTCGAATACAATCGTATCCGTAGTGATACTCACACCCGTGCCACGCGAAGGACAAGTAGCCGTACAGTATGAACTGTATAATACTTCACACGGAGCGATGTTCATCATCATCATCCACCACCATCAACATCACCACCATCAACATCACCACCGTCAACATCACCACCGTCAACATCACCACCGTCAACATCACCACCGTCAACATCACCACCGTCAACATCACCACCGTCAACATCACCACCGTCAACATCACCACCGTCAACATCACCACCGCCAACATCACCACCGTCAACATCACCACCGTCAACATCACCACCGTCAACATCACCACCGTCAACATCACCACCATCATCGCGCGTTTGCTTCATCCAGGGAAACCGCGAGTCACAAGACTCGCTGTCAAAGATGCTCTTGCCACATTCATTCCGACACAAATTGCGTTGACGAGTGTGAGTGTTTTTTTGTTTGGCTATGTGCCACGGAGAAGGGCCGTTGCCTGAAACGTCGCCTATTTTTATATATATGTCCCGTTTAGGGCCACAGTGTTGTTGGCGAATGCGTCGAGGTTGTTGTCGTTGTTGTTGTTGTCGTTGTTGTTGTTGTCGTTGTTGTTGTTGACGTTGTTGTTGTTGACGTTGTCACAAATTTGTTTGAAAGTACCGGATTCTAAGTCGCAACCGCCCCACCCCACACTTTTGTTTTACATCGGTGAGGTGGGGGGGGGGGGGGGTAAAGTGAGTGCGTCTTATAATCCGCATAATAATTCACGAGATGGTGGTAAACGCTGCGCCGTGTCACGGTTGGTGAGCCACTGCCCCGCCACGTTACCGGTAACCGCACGGATAACCACCACCACCACGACCACCACCACCACGACCACCACCACCACGACCACCACCACCACCACCACCACGACCACCACGACCACCATCACCATCACCACGACCACCACCACGACCACCACCATCACCACCACCACGACCACCACGACCACCACCACCATCACCACGACCACCACCACCATCACCACCACCATCACCACCACCACGACCACCACCACGACCACCACCATCACCACGACCACCACGACCACCACCACCATCACCACGACCACCACCATCACCACCACCACGACCACCACGACCACCATCACCATCACCACGACCACCACGACCACCACGAGCACCACCACCATCACCACGACCATCACCACCACCATCACCACGACCACCACCATCACCACGACCACGACCACCACCACGACCATCACCATCACCACCACCATCACCACGACCACCACCATCACCACCACCATCACCACCCCACCACCCTCCCCCCACGATCGCCCAAAACGCCACTCGAGGCTCGATTCGGCCAGACCAGCACGCGGTAGCGGCGAGAAGCAATGTGGTGGTGGTTGTTGTTGATGATGATGATGGTGGTGGTGGTAATAGCAGGGAAGGTTGTGGCGGTGGTGGTTATGATTTGGAAGAGAGGAAGCGAGATGAAGGTGGTGGTGGTGGTGGTAGCGATGACAGATGTGGCGACGTTGGTGACTATGGCAGTGATGACATTGATGGTGGCATCGATTCGAGAGACGCTCGTGATTACACGCATGATGGTGGTACATTGATTATACACATTGTCATGCTTACAGCAACATCGCCGTTTATTACATTTGGTGATGATTGCGAATGTAACGGTGACGACGGTCTATGACGCTGTGCGGGATGCTCCCTTGCGTTCACCTTTGCGCTCGAAGAGGTTGTGATGATGGTCGCGGTGGTTGAGAACGAGGTGGTTGGAGGTGGTGGTTGTTGTTGTAAGGTTTCTGTCCTCCTAGCGCCCAACCGAGCTGCACAACCAGAAGCGGCGGAGCCACGAAGACGACTCGTACCCCGCATCCATGCGGAGATCTGCGCCCTCCCCGTTCGCTCGCTCGCTCTCCCTAGACCCTCTCCCTACACTCTCTCTCTCTAGACTCTCTCCCTACACTCTCTCCCTAGACCCTCTCTCTACACTCTCTCTCTAGACCCTCTCCCTTCACTCTCTCTCTAGACCCTCTCCCTACACACTCTCTCTCTAGACCCTCTCCCTACACTCTCTCTCTCTAGACCCTCTCCCTACACTCTCTCTAGACCCTCTCCCTACACTCTCTCTCTAGACCCTCTCCCTTCACTCTCTCTCTAGACCCTCTCCCTAGACTCTCTCTCTCTAGACCCTCTCCCTACACTCTCTCTCTAGACCCTCTCCCTAGACTCTCTCTCTCTAGACCCTCTCCCTACACTCTCTCTCTCTCTAGACCCTCTCCCTTCACTCTCTCCCTAGACCCTCTCCCTACACTCTCTCTCTAGACCTTCTCCCTTCACTCTCTAGACCCTCTCCCTACACTCTCTCTCTCTCTAGGCCCTCTCCCTTCACTCTCTCTCTCGACCCTCTCCCTTCACTCTCTAGACCCTCTCCCTACACTCTCTCTCTCTAGACCCTCTCCCTTCACTCTCTCTCTAGACCCTCTCCCTACACTCTCCCTAGACCCTCTCTCTTCACTCTCTCTCTCTAGACCCTCTCCCTTCACTCTCTCTCTAGACCCTCTCCCTACACTCTCTCTAGACCCTCTCCCTACACTCTCTCTCTAGACCCTCTCCCTACACTCTCTCTCTAGACCCTCTCCCTACACTCTCTCTCTAGACCCTCTCCCTACACTCTCTCTAGACCCTCTCCCTACACTCTCTCCCTAGACCCTCTCCTTACACTCTCTCTCTAGACCCTCTCCCTACACTCTCTCTCTCTCTAGATCCTCTCCCTACACTCTCTCTAGACCCTCTCCCTTCACTCTCTAGACCCTCTCTCTTCACTCTCTCTCTAGACCCTCTCCCTACACTCTCCCTAGACCCTCTCCCTACACTCTCTCTCTAGACCCTCTCCCTACACTCTCTCTCTCTCTAGACCCTCTCCCTACACTCTCTCTCTAGACCATCTCCCTACACTATCTCTCTCTAGACCCTCTTTCTTCACTCTCTCTCTCTAGACCCTCTCCCTACACGCTCTCCCTAGACCCTCTCCCTACACTCTCTCTCTCTCTAGACCCTCTCCCTTCACTCTCTCTCTAGACCCTCTCCCTTCACTCTCTCTCTCTAGACCCTCTCCCTTCACTCTCTCTCTCTCTAGACCCTCTCCCTACACTCTCTCTCTCTAGACCCTCTCCCTACACTCTGTCTAGACCCTCTCCCTACACTCTCTCTCTAGACCCTCTCCCTTTGCTCTCTCTCTAGACCCTCTCCCTACACTCTCTCTCTAGACCCTCTCCCTACACTCTCTCTAGACCCTCTCCCTACACTCTCTCGCTCTCTCCAACCTCTTCCGCACTCTCTCCGTTCTCTCTCTCTCTCCACCCTCTGCCACGCTCTCCTCTCGACGCTCTCCACAGACTCTCTGCTGATCCCGTTTCTCTCTCCCGCACGCGGCGCTACGATTTCTCCGCTCTCTCCACTCTCTCTCCCTTCTCTCTCTCTCTCACTCGCGTTGCCTCCTCCCGGCACACTCTCTCTCTCTCTTCTCCGAACTACAACATGTCTCCGTGCTCGCTCTCCTCGTACTCTCCCACTCACTCCCGTGCGCCTCTCTCTGCGCCTCTCTTCGAACTCGCCGTACTCACTCGGCACTCTTCCGTCGCGCTCATCCCCCCCCCCTCTGTTCGCGCTCCCCCCCCCCTCTGTTCGCGCTCTCCCACTCCCTCCCGCGCTCCCCCCCTTCTCTCCCCACGCTTCCCCACTTTCTCTGGACGCTCTCTCCCCGCACTCTCTCCCCTCTCCACTCTCTCCCCTCTCCCCGCACTCTCTCACCTCTCCCCGCACTCTCTCCCCTCTCCCCGCACTCTCTCCCCTCTCCCCGCGCTCTCTCCCCTCTCCCCGCGCTCTCTCCCCTCTCCACTCTCTCCCCGCACTCTCTCCCCGCACTCTCTCCCCGCACTCTCTCCCCGCACTCTCTCCCCGCACTCTCTCCCCGCACTCTCTCCCCGCACACTCTCCCCGCACTCTCTCCCCGCACTCTCTCCCCGCACTCTCTCCCCGCACTCTCTCCCCGCACTCTCTCCCCGCACTCTCTCCCCGCACTCTCTCCCCGCACTCCCTCCCCTCTCCCCGCACTCTCTCCCCGCACCCCCCCCTCCCCGCACTCTCTCCCCTCTCTCCACGCCGCTCGCGAGCGGCTCGGGGTTTCGTGTTTGTCACGTGCGATATTTTTTTCCCGGTGATCTCCCTGCTCGCCTACGTATATATACACACGCACACATGCACATATTATATATGTATTTTAATATCTCGATATACAATTGTGTAAAAAATATTCCCCGTGTAACCTTAACAGACTGTTGGGGGCAAGTGCTGTTAGCGAGCGCCTATGAAGGTCGGCACGGCACACGAGGATGGGTGGATGGGTCGATGGGTGGCTATGCATCACTAAATGTATATATGTACAGAATAGAAAATATACACACGTAACAATTATACATACACACGTATACACACACACACACACCAAACACGTATAGTACAGCATACGAACACGCATATATACACATGCGCGCACCTATGCACAGTATGCCTACACGGGCAAGGGTAAGTAACAAAGACTAAGGCAAAGATCCCCCGTGTAGCCTGTAACAGACTGTTGGGGCAAGTGCTGTTAGCGAGCGCCTATGAAGGCCGGCACGGCACACACGAGGGGGTGGGTGGCCAGAAACACGTCCGGCTGCCTTTGTCTCCCCAGTGGCGATGTTTACTACACACCGCACCGGGTACTCATTTGAGGCCGAGTCGACCTAGGGGAGGCCCAGGACCGGTGCAGATAATCGTCAGTTGGTGTTGGCCGGGAGTGGAAATTGAACTCGGTTCTGCCAGGTTTGTAGCGCGGCGTAGCGCTAACCACTGCGTCACCGCTCCCCACAAAATAAACACAACAACAACCGCCATTCGCCACTAAGTGGCGGTGACGTCACCACGACGCTTGTGCCAGGCCATGTGCACCTTGAGGCAACGTGAAGTTACGAACGCTCGCTGGCAGGAGGTCACGGGGCAGACCCAGGTGCCACGGGTCGACTGACTGAGATGACTGGAGGATGCACCACCTGTGCCCTCTACTGTGCCAACCTGCTGTGCTTTAGCCACCCGGCGCTCCGCTCGTTGTTGTGAGCGTCGCTCCTACCGCCCTCCGTTGTTGTTGGAGGGCGACTGCCTCCAACTGCCCAATAGCGTCCTTCACGAGCCTCCTCCACAGAGGCCGATCTTGACACCGCTGGTATCAGTCATCGGCAAATCCACTCAGCTCCACGTCCTCCTGTACCACATCACTCCATCTCTTCTCTAGCCCGTGCCGCGCCCGTTTAGCCCCCTCGATCCGGCCGAACAAAAGCTGTTTCGGCATGCGGTGGCTGGGCATGCGGGCTACATGACACAAGCCAACGCAGCCTTGCCTGCCGGAGGAGCTCACCGATAGGACCTTGCCCAGATCTTTCAAGGATTTGTGAGCTCCTCACACAATCCAGCCTGGTTAAACCCAGGATGGATCGTAGGCAGGCCAGCCTAAATGTTTCCAACCGGCGAAGATGCTTCATTAAGGGAGTCCACGTTTCGCAAGCGTAGAGAAGGGAGAGAATGACCGTGGCCGAGAAGACCTGAAGCTTAGTGCGGAGCGACAGACCACGTAGCTTCCACACAGCGTTACGCAACCGATGAAATATATTGCCGCTCGACTGATTCGGAGTGAGACCTCTGCTGTTAAACTGGAGCCAGTCATAAGCACACTGCCCAGGTATGGGAAACTCTCCACTCTCTCCACAACTGCCCCATATATACACACACAGGTTAACACACACAGGTTCACACACACACACAGATCCGCACATACACAATAGCGACTGTAAACAAAGACCGACGGAGATTTCAAATTCTCTGTTGTGAATGAACCAGTACTTGTGTTTAAGCTGCATGGTAAATAGACACACACACACTACACACACTTCACAGACACTCGTTATCGTAGCGTTAACTAAACATCGTAGTCATCATAACTATATTATCTAAAAAAAAAGTTTGGCTGGCTGGCGGACGGGCTGGAGGGGAGACTTTTGTCATCCAAAGGGCGTTCGGCTTTGCTCGTTGTCATAATAACGATGATGATGATGACGACGATAATTGACAGCCCTTTATCGTTCGCTGTGACCATACCTCGCCGCGGTGACACCGCGTGAGATAATTGATGAAAGAGGGGTCGTTGCCCGGGACCGGTTCACGTCTGATTCGCCCCAGCAGCTGATGCTGATTCACCAGATTGTTCGCGCGATGTGCAAACCACTGCGCCACCGCTCTCCCGTCGTGTAATCAAATACACATACGCCGCCGTGATGTGCGTGTGTGTGCCTTCTCGTCTTTATTAGCGAAACGTCGACCCCCTTCCATTTTCAAGGAACATCTGCGCAGGTTTGCAACATTTAGGCTGGCCTGCCTACGATCCATCCTGGGTTTAACCAGACAAATGACAGATCCTTACATTTTGAATGAAAACTTTCGTGACTGCAGGAATTCAAAATAAAATAAAAATACAAAATATATATTTTTTAGATGTTTTTGTTACTATTATTTTTATTTACTTTTCTATCTACGTGACTTTACCGAAAGAACCAAAGAATATGACAGATCGTTGTAAGATCTGGACACAGTCCCCCATCATTGAGCTCCGCGTGCCCAGTCAACCGCATACCCAAGCAGCTTTGTTTGGCCGCATAGAGGGGGCTAAACGGGCGCGGCACGGGCTGGAGAAGAGATGGAGTGATGTGGTACAGGAGGATGTGGAGCTGAGTGGACTTGCCGAAGATTGGTAGCTAGCAGCGGTGTCAAGATGGGCCTCTGTGGAGGAGGAGGCTCGTGAAGGACGCTACTGGGCAGTTGGAGGCAGTCGCCCTCCAACAACAGCAAACGGCGGAGGAGCGA